ACTAACATACTCCACATTATTAGGCTTGTACTTGTCCAAAATGCTTCAGGTGCATTGCTTGTGATATGTCAACTAGAACCAGAGCCTTGAATGACTGTCGTGTTCAGTCACTTTAGTTTATTGTTACATGCACATCCGCTTCAGCAAAATGACTTCCTATTAATCTAGTGTTGATTTGAGTCTTCAGTCATTCTGCAATATGATAAGCCTGCAGAATTTTCTATTTTTTGCATGATTCTGAATTAAATGACATTTGTTTTGCTGGAAATAGTTGAAACTTTCCTTTTAAACCAGAGAACACACACTTAGCATTTGATCTCGGATAATTTGGCTTTGTTGCCTGTCACAGATGTGGTGTCACGTTGAATAAAGACACAAAACAGCTGGATTGTACAAGTGTCCTCCAGCTCCAGACTTCGTTTATTGCCTGTCCTCTCACTGAGACTATTTCTATATGAGCCCAACAAACAGATCCAGCCAGCAAGCGCTTATAATAGTGCTATTGTTTTCCATAGGCATGTAAAAATCAAACGTGTCAAAACAGAGAAAATCCTCAAAGATCTAAATATACATAAACACGCCTCCATGTAACTTTCTGTTTCACATCATTTTCAGATAATTGGTGTATACTTTAAAGTGCAGTGTAGATATGCTGCATGTGGTACACAGAGGCACTCTTCAGAACTTCAAAGGGCAAAAAGTAACTCTTAAAATATGGACAGAAGGATTTAACCAGACTAATTTTTCCTTTTCAGCAGACAGGACACCTGCAGCGTACTGTATATGCATCCACTGTCTGTAGTTTATTCCTAGAGTTGTAGGAGCCTGTTCCAGCTGATGTTGGGGACAGGCAGGGTATTTTAAAGCAATTAAACAAATAATGGATAAACTGTTCAAAAGAAGCAGCAACACTTCATAACACTGTAGTTTTTGAAAGAAGAATTAGAGTCTATAGACAATTTATTCACTTTATATCAATTGAATGTAAGCCTTTTACTCTACGCATATCTCTGATAAATGTACGGAAAAATTAATCTTTTTTGCTATGGGAGAACTTTGCAATTGTGTCCCTTTTTTGTGTTTTTGCAAAGTGGAGGTTTGGCAAAGCAACTCAGCTTCAGAATAGAGTGAGATATGTTTGTGCTTGACTCTACCGCGGCCTCATTTCCCCTTTGGTTTGTTGACAGTGGTCCCCGGCATAAAAAAGAAAGAATTCGTGAAACTAGCGAATGATGGCGAACGGTTAAGCCTGCCCACAAAGCTGCTTTGTTTGCTCGCTTTGCAATTGTTCTGCTGCGGTTTCCTTAGAGTATTTGCTTGTTGCAAATAGAGCTCTCTCTCTCTTTCTCTCTCCTCTTGTGAGCTATTTTGCTGACTTAGGCCACCGGTGTGAGTGAGGGGGGGGGGAAGGATGTTAATTTTACAAGTCAGTGTTCCCATCAACCATCACACCTCTGAGCCTGCGGTGTGAAATCGATGTCAGGTCTCCGTGTTCCTGTCACGTGGCTTCACTGCATTGCCACATTGCAGCAGCTTGTAAACTGAGCGCATGTTGTATTTTAGAGCAATGCGTAATGGTCAGGGTGCTCTGACCTCAACCACAGCTAGCTGGTGCTGTGCTCCCAGGCGACCGCGGCCTTCTGGTTTCCTGGTGGAAGCCGCCTCAGGTCTAGGCCACCGCGACACAGCCCTGTCTGCGTTTAGCTTTATGCACGCTCCGTGGAATTCACTATATTTTATCTCCGTCTGAGCCGCGGCTATCGAGCCGACCCTTAAACGCAATCAGAACCCCGTTTATGGCTCTGTCAGACCAGATGTCTGACCGGGGCCAGTAAATCTGATCGTAGCGAGACAGGAGACGGGAAAGTTGTTTTTTGACAGAGGAGGAGAACAGGAATGAAGGGCAACAAAATCGTTCGAAGGTGCGATCGGAACAAAGACTTCTAAAGGGAAAGAAAACATATGAAGGTGTTTCTCATAAGCCTCCTCAGATCCCTTATCTGATGGCCATTATAGATAGCATCCGGCATCCCATCTCCACCCCACTACGCCTGGACCCAGTCGAGCAGGTCATCTGAAAAAGGTTCATTGGTGCCTGCAGGTGTAGTTCAGAGATGAATGCTGTGATTTGAATGTCTTTCTGTGTGTGTTTAGTGAGGCCAGCTTTAGGGAAGGAAGTTCCCAAAGTGACTTTATCTGCTTGTGTCACACTTCTTTTTACATTTTGAATCAGTCTTAATCTTAACAAGTAGCAAAACCAAAAAGCAAATCACGTTGAAGCACAGTAAACGTTTTGAATAAGTTCCTGAAAGAGCAAGAAAAGACTTAAATGTGTGAGGAAAACCTGTTTATAACGTATCAGATGATTGAATCTTAGCTCCTTCTTCGTTTCATTCTTACTATTTCAATTAATCGCATTGAATATTAACACCTTTCTAAATATTTGTTCCACAAATACAGATTAGCGGAAAATTGCAAAAGATTACGCCCGTTCAGGCTGGGCAGAAGTTGTTATATGACTGTTCAAGGGCTGGCCAGCCTTTGCTCCAGCAGCCTGTTAGGTTAATCCAAAACGGGCTCTGTCCTGGAGCAGTCACGTGTTTGGAGCTTAGCTGCGCTCCCTTGCCTTGGTTTAATTTCTACAGCGGGCGGGAAGGAGTTTGTCCGGGAAAAACAAAAAATAGAACCACGGGGGCTTTAGATGCTGTAAAGAGAGATGTTTGTAATGCACCTCCGGAGAGGTAAATTTATGTTGTTTACACATACTGATCTGAGAGCCTGGGCAACTGTTTGGTTTTACCGTGGTGGAAAGCATGTGGACAGATTCTGTCCCACACTATGTCCCACAGATGTTCTCTGTAGATCATCATTCTTAAAGTCAGTTACTTTATTTTGGACAAAACTGATGTAAAAACTCACAGAAAGGTCTAATTATGAGGAGGATTCTTCTCAGGTCCATGCAGAGTCCCGTGTTGGGCATTTTCTTAGGTGCAGCTGTCTGCCTCTAAATGCAGAAGCACCAATGAGCCCAAAGTTTTAGTCGTCTAATGTGTTTGGCTATAGCTCACTGTTTATTACCTTTTCTGTGGTGTGTTGCTGACATTTCTGTCCTTTTTTCTTTCTGGCCTTTAGCTGCTTTAATGTGTGCTGAATGAAAACCGAGTCCCATCACCCCTCCACCACCACCACCACCACCATCTGGAAAACATTGAGGAACTAAGTGGATTGGAGAAGGCAGAGACCAAGGAAGGGAGTCATGGGAGGGAGGGAAGACACAGAGGATTAACAGCTAATCCAGTGCACGGACAATCCTGGAGGAGCTTTATCATTCTTCCAGGACGATGCAGATAAAACAGTAGCCGGATTACGACGCTTCACTTTATTGCCCTTTGCTACACCACATGCACCTTTTTTTTATTTCCCTTCACCCTGAATTCTTCTTGGTAGACTTAGTGTTTAGTGCAAAAAGCATTGCCTTAGCAATGCGTAGACCTGTAGGTGGGATGTCCCATGGGCGGTGCTGTGAAGCACACATGGATAAACCTTTTTAGTGGAAAGCGGAACATGACAATGGACCCCCGTTTCCTTTGCTTGACCGCAGAAGAGGACCTTAGCAGAACAACTATCTGCAGAGACTCTCAGAAGCTGTGATCTGTTGCAGTAAAAAGCCTGACTGACAGTAAGCAAGTGTGGAATCTGCTTGGTTTTGTTCTGATGTGTTTGTTGAAAGCATGACATCCATAAAAGTTAGCACATGCTGACTTCCATCTCCATGGCGCTTAATAGGTGATCCGATCCTATTTTCTAATCTTATACAGGGTCATACATGCACTGCTTTATCATTCAAATACCCCCAATTCACTTCGTAAAGTGGAGCATTCTGTCATGGGTTGATGCAAATCAAACATTTTATAGGTTTGCAAGGCTTCCTGGTGAGGTGATCCTCTTAGTGGTGCAAGTGAAATGTTAGTTTAGGCTGACATTAATGCATCTCTCCGCGTCTAAAAGAGTATTCCGTGATGTAAAGTCAGTCTGAGCACTTGGCTTTTTTTTCCCCATTGCTTTTGTCACGCACAGTAACTGGACTACTTGGCTGAAATCACATCTTAGCGTTTCTGCTGTTTGGGGCTGATTTTTGTACATCTAGATAGTCGCTGACTGATCCAGATAGAATCAGATCCCGGTCAGCATCAGACTCTCCAACCATGGAGCCGTGGTAACCGGCGGAAACAGAGTACGGCCTCGTAATTTCGCATCTTTGTTATTTTGTTATGATTGAAAGCTTAAGCTGTGCAGGGCAAAAGTGTCTGGTTGTTTTGGACCATTGAGCAGGATTGACAAAATGCATGAAATCACAGGGTCTGTACCTACATTTACATCCTACAGTGTAGAGGAGTGAAATAGTGCAGTGTTGAGTAAAAGCCAGGCGGAGACATGAAGAATGGATTTTACACATATCCTGTTGCGACTGAACAACCAAATATTTGTTTTCTGTCAAAAATTTCCACGCAGCCATTTGACTGTTTTCTTTCTGGTTTTACAGAACCCCAAGCTGGATTTCCGACGTGACTGACATGAGCTCTAACTTCATTAATTCTCATTCAGTATAAACGGAAACTACCAACTTTTTCTCCCACCATGAGCCTCGGAAAGCTGCCAGGGATTAAAGGCCTTGTGTCTAGCTCTCAAGGGAAACGGCGTTTCAAAAGTGACCTCTCGGTGGACATGATCAGCCCGCCGCTGGGCGACTTCCGACACACTATGCACGTTGGCCGCGGCGGGGACGTGTTCGGTGACACCTCCTTCCTTAGCAACTACGGCGGCATTAAGGAACCAGGAAGTCCAGACTCGGCAAACAGCTCCAAGTCGACCGGCTTCTTCTCACGCACTTTTCGACATGTACAGAGAAGCTCCGGGCCACGGCCGCGGGGGGGCTCCCGAGACCTGTCCTCCCCGCCGCCGGACATCTCACCCATCATCAAGAATGCCATCTCTTTGCCTCAGCTCAACATAGACTCTCCCAATGGGTGCCTGGAGAGGGTGCTGTTCCCCAACTCCATCAGCTCAACGGATGATTCCTTCTGCACATATGGTGAGATAATACAGATAATCACTCGCAGCATGGGGTTCTCTGTAAAGCACCTTAGGAGGGAGGTCATCGTCATTAAAAGTCAGCAGGGAAAAGGTGATGGTGGTGATTGTTCTCAAACAGGATAGTTTATAAAGTGAAGCATGATCGGCTATGTCGAGGATTAGTTCACACAAAATCGGCTGCAAGAAGATATCTGTCATATTTGAGAGGGAACACCAAGATCAGGAATGAGGCTTAGCTACATGACAGGGATTTAAATGTCTAAATGTGACAATGACTGTGTCAAAAAGTCTTGACCCATAGATTTTTTGGACTTTGTTTTGTAGACGAATTGTGGTCCTTTGCTCACACTGTAGAGTTCTAACTTGGGATTTCAGTTCTGTTTATATTTGACAGTTTATAACCAACACTGGAAGTGGTTTGCAATTAACTTTCATCTGAACAGGACAACCCTCTGATGTAGTTCACATGTGCACCGGGTGTTTTGTCTCCGAGCTGACTGGCCACCAACTATAAAACCTGGGATATATAATAGACAATTCTGAAGAGTTAGCACAACCCATTTGGAGATGTCATTTAGTTTGTCTGAAGGCAAAAGTCTAAGACTGTATAATAAAATGATAGAAATCAGATTTGAAAACTGGACTTATGAGTAAACTCAGCTTTGAGTTTACTCTCATATGGCAAATCGAAGGAAAGAAATAGGATTTCAGTCATATCTGCCATGAACTGTGTACATAGCCTGTGTAGCTTTGTTTGAATGCCAGAATTTTCTTTTTCCAGATTTTTAAAAGATTATGCTGGTATGATAAACATACATTTGCCACTCTATCAGTCAAGCTGCTGTGACTACTTTGATCTGAAATAACGCAACAGATTAAGCTTTTGTAAGAATAATTTGTATCAGTGTGGAAGCTAGAAAAAGACAGCTGTGTGAATGTATTTATCTGGTACTTAGCTCATTTTACATTTAAATGATTTCAATCTGATATAATTACATTTAGCAAAACTGTTAAGTGTCAACACTGAATGGAACAATTCCAACTTAAAGAACATTACTACAGTCACTTTAACTTCTGTTCTTACTGTTCAGTCTCCAGTAAATGGGGTGTAAACGGAACAATATATGTCAGTTCCCACACGAACACATAGGTTTAGAAGCCCGCTGTTAAACCTCCTGAGACCCCAGGAGGAGCTGGTAGAAGTGTCAGGGGAGAGGGAAGTCTGGGTTTCCCTGCTCAGGCTGCTGCCCCCATGACCCGACCCCAGATAAGTGGTGGACAATGGATGGATGGATGGATAGATGGATAGATGGATGGAAATGGGATTAGTAGTACCTTATAAGTTTAATAAGTAGACTTTGTCATGGTACAGATACCTTCTCTTCATATAGGCTCAGTGGGTTTATCTTTATATTTAAAATGTTTGTTTATATATTTAATTAAATGTTTTTGCAATTTGGATCTGAGAGTCAAAATGACTTATTTACTCAATTTTAATTACATAAAAAAACTTGATTGGTCGAAATCTCTTATTTTAGATTTCAAACATTTGTTTCTGATAAGATCTACTATGAGGCCAAGAGGTCAAAGTCAAAAGAAAAAATAAATATCATGGTAAAGAGAGGCAAAAATGCAATGTCCGTGTATGAGGACGCAAGGTCTCAGGAGGTTAATATTTTTCCCATATGCCTTCAAGACAACCAGCAAACATGCAGGCTTCTTCTGAGTCATCTGGGATCACCTAGGCGACACCTGTACACAGTTGGGTCTAAAAACACAAACACACCACAGCTGGTTTGCTGATGAGAGATACTTACCGGGCATTTCCTGTCATCTCAGTATACATCTGCCCCCGCCTAAACGAACAGCTTAAACACACCATCTCTTGTCTGTGATAACCAATCAGAGCTTGTCAGGCAGCAGGGTTCAGTCACTGGAAATCCCCTTTCCCTGCTCAAATTTATCACCCAGCTCAGAAGCAATTTGCCGAAACTGGTGATGTAGACCTGCTAGAGATTCAGATATGTTTTTCAGATCATGGCTCCGTATTCCAAGTCCAAAGTCCAAAAACTTGGAATAGCAGTCAACATTCATTTTTACCTATGAACCATCCCTTAACTTATACTCTTCATATATACCTCCCCTAATACATCCAACTCTATTGGTCTTAATCCTTTTCACCCCATGTCTGTTGAACAGTTAATGGTTTTCAGAGGCTTTAGCATGTGTGAGTGTGTATGAGTGTGCGTGTGGTAGGATGGCACATTGAAGAATTTCAAAAATCACATTTGGTGTACTGCCGCCATCATGTGGTGAAAGAGCTGAACAGTTCTTGTTTGTTTTTTTCCCACTTACAGGCTCTGGAAAAGTTGTAGATCAAGTATTTGGTCTCATATGTTTTGATTATGAAATCCCTTCAACACAACATAACGAATATCCATCCATCCATTTTCTGAACCATCCATCCATTCAACATCGTAACCGTTTATTCCCTCATGGGGTCGCGGGGGGGACTGGAGCCTGGAGCCAGCAGTCATTGGGCGAGAGGCGGGGTCACCCTGGACTGTCCACCAGTCCATCTCAGGGCCACACAGAGACACACAACCACGCACACTCACTCATAAGGGCAATTTGGATGGTGGGAGGAGTACCCAGAGAGAACACACGCAGGCAAACTCCACAAAAAAGGTACCAGTCCCCCCCTCCCGGGACTTGAACTGGTAACCCTGATGCTCTGGGACGATGGTGCCAGTGACAGTTAATGTTTTGGAAAATTTGATCACCTCTTACATTCACTGAATCACCATGAAGTCTATGTCTGTGAGTTTTAGCCGTTATCGCTTTAAAATGTATTTGACCTGAGATTGTTCCGGTGACTTGAGTGTTTTTTCTCTTTTGTCTGCGCATATGCAGGTGTACGGTCTGGATTTGTCACTCTGCCCCGCCTTTCCCGACTTGAGAGACAGTTTCATGAGGGAGAAACGCACAGAGGGTCCCCCCCGGACAGCAGCCGGGGCCCACTGACTCGCTCCGACTCTCTTGCCTCGTTCATAGTGGATTTGGGTCCTTCTCTTGTGACGGAGGTCTTGAGCTTGATTGACAGTGCTCCCTCCCTCCAGATGAGCAGTCACAGCCAGACGGCAGATGAAGGTGAAGAGAGAGGGGAGGGAGAAAATGATGACGACAGCTCTCTGACGGAGACGCCCGTGCAGAGCCCTGGACCCACCTCACCCAACATGTCCATGTGCAGCAGCTCGTTCAGGAGCAACGAAGAAGAAGACAGGAGCTCTGTGAGGACACCTGATCAGTCCGCCGGGTCGCCTCACGGTGAGGAACCCGTGATGGAGGCAGAAAGGTTCCAGAGGGCTGCCAATGTGCTGGCTCGTCATTACGGCGGAGGGTCCTTCAGCAGAGGAACGAGCGGCAACGACACCTCTTCAACAATCCACAAAGGCCACAGAGCGTCATGTGCATTACCAGAGGAGGAGGAGGAAATCAAAGTTTAGATATTCAGACTCGTAAACTAACACAAGTGATCTGGCTACTTTGAAGTCAGGAGTAATGCACAAAGGTCCTGGGCCTCCTTGTTAAAGTTGTCACCGGCACACATTGGGACAGCTACAAGATAAAGATCTGTATTTAATTTGTTAAATATGGAGGTTTGCTGTCCACCTTGACCCTATGCCTTCCTCTGATATGCTACACTTTAGTTGAAATATTACATGGATCCCTTTTATTTTTCTTTAAAAGTACTTTGTCAACACTATGAAACCATTATGCTAAACAACAACATCAATAAATGCGTGGAGTGAAGATGTTCAAATTTATTGAAGAAGTTACAGTTAGCAAATTCAACAAATATATCTATATTTTTGCATTTTCCTCACATATAAATTAAAACGTGAACACAGAATAACACTGTAAACTTACTTGAAAATGACACACGTAGAGCTCCAATATAAAGTCAAAATAAAAGTCATGTTGAACTCTAAAATTTAAAACAATTATTCTAGACGTTTAAGGTTGGATTTAAGATCAAATTTTTGTATACATTGAACATTTATATGAGTAAAATATGTGAGATTTTCACATGTTTAAAAGTACATATATGGTGTTGTTATATATATAAAAAATGCTAAGTGTGAGAAAATGTTAACAAATGTGTTTAATGCATTTATTACAACTTTAACTTCTGAACTACATCTCTACTTTTAGCACCACATGTGAATAAAATATGAAAGTGGGTCCAATGCTTTTGGATGGGAAAGCATTTAGAGAATACCTCTGTATGTTAATACATTACTACATACAATGTGGATAAGTTAACCCTTTTGTAACTGTTGTATACAATAACAATATTAATGTATAACCTGTATCATTTCAAATATGGATGTTGGACTACAATTTCTAAATAGATTTATTCACGCTTTTAATGGCGAGCTCACTTATTATTTTGGTTTCTCTTATTTCAGTTAAATTTCCCTTCTTCTTCCTCTCTACTTAAGAATGTCCACACAAAGACAAACTTTTTCACACCCACAACTTTTTTGAGTGAAATATTAATCAAATTTAAAATGGGTTTTAAATATCCAAATTTAACTGAAAATAGTAAGAAAAGATATTGAATACTGAAGCATAACTTTCGGTGCCCTTTTTTATGTGTGTTCGTTATTCATTTGCACAACGTGTTTAGAGAATGGTACACGGTGAACAGAAGGGAGACAAACTTGTGGAAAGTCAGGTAAAACATCTCCCAATTATTGAGGTAATTACCCAAATTCCATTAGCATAACTGGGCATCACAACATAAGGGTATCAAAAATAAAGATGGAAGGTTAACGACATTGTGTAAAAGAGACTTTTTGCTCTGATTGTTTAACAGCTCAACAATTATTTGCAATCTGACAAGGTCACATCATCTGCTTTGCACGCCTAATCTTTTTCTTTTTTCTTTTTTAGCTGTGAGCCCTGAAAGTCAAACAAACATGATTACTTTACAACAGCACACAGTAATCTCTGTCGCAAGAAATGAAAAGTCAATTAGTAACAGAGGGAGCTTGGATGTTCAGATTGTTCAGACTTTAAAGATAAGTGCACTCTGCCTGTGCATGACCAATAGTATGTGCTTCTAAGAGACTTGAAACTAACAATGGATGAATATCAGGAAGTTCTGCTATTTCCTGCTTTATAAAGAATTTTCCTGAGATTGGAGGCTGTTTGAGAACTGCAGAGAACAGACCTGACCTCTTTAACTGTGACATGAAATGTCTGATTTTCTTCTTGCACAGAGATGGAATGCCCGACCTGAAAATCTTACTAACCTCACAACGTTCACACACAGTCTGAAGAGTGTGTTTGAATACAGTTCAATTGGTGACACTGCATATCTAGTCAATTTAGTTCTATAATGAACTAATAAGTTTATAAAAACTGTACTTTTA